TCTTCGCCTTCTCTAACATTTTTAAAAGGTCAGGGAATTTCAAAGTGGATAAAAGAATCCATTAGAGAGAAAGATCTCTGTCTACCACATATAACAAGAAAACGAAAGAGAAAAACTATCAGTCTCCACTTCTTTTCTCCACACGTTTTCTTCAATGGCTTCTCTAAAGCTTTCACCTTCTTCACCAATCTCCATCACTAAGGTTCTGTCTTCTCTTTTCTGCATCTTCAATTGGTGCCAATCAAAGTGAATTGCGTTTTTGTCTCTGTTTATGGTTTTGTGATTACAGAGCAGTAGATTTGTTGGTGTTCCTTATTTCAAGAAAGGAGTTTCATTTCTTGTTCGGTCTGAACAATCTCCGTCTTCCTCTTCTGATCTTCAAGGTCTGTGTTTTTTAATCCAATTTCGCAACAATTAGGGTTTCGATTCCAGTTCATTTGTTTGAATGAATGTAATTGAAGAAAACCCATCTACAAAGTTTGTGTTTTTATTTCAGAAAAATGTCAGAGGCGTGTGGTTGTAACATTCGGTGTTGTTGCTCCATGGATCTCATTGCTTAGTAGAGCTCCATTATCATGTAAGTACTCTTTTTGTTTCTTAATCTTATTATAATTTTTTGTACATTTTGTAGAAGAACAAAAAAAACAATTGAAATGTTATTGCTGATATTGATATGGCTCAGTTGCTGCAGAAAGAAAAGAGGGATTCCTCGTTGTATCCGATAATAAGGATGCGTATTCGTTTCAATATCCGTTTGGTTGGCAGGTTTTTGATCATTGATCTTTGTCCTCTTTTCGATTCGATGTTTTCGAAAACACTCAAACGTTGCAAAGACTACAACAATGTCTCTCTCCTTTGTTGAAATGGTTAGGAAGTTGTGATTGAAGGTCAAGACAAGGTGTATAAAGACGTGATTGAGCCGTTAGAAAGCGTCAGTGTAAACTTGATCCCGACTAGTAAACAAACTATCAAAGAATTTGGTCCTCCTAAGCAGGTATGTAATGTAATGTACTATTCTTTTGTGTTTTTTGGTTTCTCTCTCGAGTTATTGAACCTGTTGTGGTTTGTCGCAGATCGCTGAAACATTGATAAAGAAAGTTTTGGCTCCTCCGAATCAGAAAACAAACCTTATTGATGCATCAGAGGTACTTTTAACTATACATTTAGTGTGGAGGCTCATGTGTAATAGTAGAGTGTGGTTTTTGAGTGTTTGGTTTGTTTCAATTCCCACAGCACGAAGTCGATGGGAAGACTTATTATCAGTTTGAGTTCACTGCTCAGGCTAGAAATTATACCCGCCATGCTTTAGGTGTAATCACGGTTTTCAATGGTAATCATCTCCATGAACTCACAACAATCTTCCTAATGAGTTCAAACATAGTATAATCGGTTTGGTAATCACCTCGAGTTTCTAAAGATTCATCGGTATTGAATTTGCGGTGCAGGAAAATTCTATACATTGACGACGGGAGCTAATGAAAGGAGGTGGGGAAAGATGAAGGATAGGCTTCACACCGTGGTAGATTCCTTCAAGATCACTGTTTGAAAATTATCAATCTTGCTTTGGTTACTCTCTTGTTTTGACATAAAAGGCCAATTTTCTTGTAATCTTTTTGTGTTCATTCATCTCTTTCCCTTGACAATATTCTTCTCCAGTAAGAGAGATTCATTACTCTTGAGTCTTCTTCTTCTTCTTATGCAATATTCAATCAAAACAAATTTCATTCACATGTAAAAAAAAAGTAAAAAACAAAAACTACTGCAAGTAAAAAAATGAAGTCAAAATATTCTCTTTTCGTCTTCCTTCGCCACCA